AGTGGAAAACATCCAGCTAAAACTGGAAATGGAAGCAGATATTGATGTAAACTGAGGATATTGGGTTAATATATTGATAAAAATTATACATAAATATGATTTAATAACTGTTTATGCTTAAATTGTTTTAATAGAATGGCAGAGTTAAAGCTTATTTAGCCTTTCATTGACTTAGTTTGTTGTTGTTTTTTAGTGGATTTGTCTGGTACTGGTGTCTTAAAGTGGGAAACATCTGGATTTGCATCTGTTCTGCTGCTAAAGAAGCTGCTCTGCTCAGTGCTAGCTAGTTTGGGCTTTTATGGACCCAAAAAATGGAGCTAAACCTGGAAATGGAAGCAGATACTGATGTAAACTGAAGACATTGAGTTAATATATTGTTAATAATGATACATAAATATGATTTAATAACTATTTATGCTTAAATGGTTCAATGTTGGGGCAGAGTTTAAGCTAATTTAGCCTTTCATTGACTTATTTTGTTGTTTTTCTTAGTGGATTTGTCTGGTGTTGGTGTCTTAAATGGGGAAACATCTGGATTTGCATCTGTTCTGCTGCTAAAGAAGCTGCTCTGCTCACTGCTAGCTAGTTTGGGCTTTTATGAACCCAAAAAATGGAGCTAAAACTGGAAATGGAAGCAGATATTGATGTAAACTGAAGATATTGGGTTAATATATTAATAATAATGATACATAAATATGATTTAATAGCTATTTATACTTAAATCATTTTAACATAATGGCAGAGTTTAAGCTTATTTAGCCTTTCATTGACTTAGCTTGTTGTTTTTTTTAGTGGATTTGTCTGGTACTGGTGTCTTAAAGTGGAAAACATCCAGCTAAAACTGGAAATGGAAGCAGATATTGATGCAAACTGAGGATATTGGGTTAATATATTGATAAAAATTATACATAAATATGATTTAATAACTGTTTATGCTTAAATGGTCTTAATAGAATGGCAGAGTTTAAACTAATTTAGCATTTCATTGATTTAGCTTGTTTTTTTGTGGATTTGTACATGTAAATGTAAATATTTATGCACTTATTCAGTGCTAGTACCCAAGGACTCTTCCAGATGTGGTCTGGAGGATCTGGAGTGGAACCACTACCCCCCCCCCCCCTCACCTTGTCCCGGGGCTGCAGCCGGCAGGTGAGGCGGTAGAGCAGGTACAGGTTCCCGCAGTTGAAGAGCAAGTTGACGAAGCGCAGCATGGCGGGGGAGCAGACCACGGGGCCGGTCAGGCCGAACAGCCACACCACGGGCTGAATCAGCCCCACGGACACCAGGTACAGGCCCGGCAGGGTGGTGATCATCGGGTCCCACTGGGAACACAGTTTAGTTTATGTTTAGTGTTATTAAGATCCCCATTAGCTGACGAATAAATGGCCACTAGTCTTCCTGGGGTCCTCACATGAAGACATGACATTACATTATGAACAAACCATTAAAAAAATCCCATTAGGACAGTGTTTTTCAACCATTTTTGAGCCAAGGTAAATTTTTTCACAGGCCAAAAATGTCAAACAAATCTGTAGCCGCCTATAGTAACACTATAGTTATTCTTATTTTATTCTTATCTTATGTGTCTTGAATAGGAATCAAATAAACACAAAATTGTATTTTTATCATATTTTATATTTCTTCTTTCAAATTGTACTTAACATGTCCACTTCAATATACAAAATTATATACAAAATTTAGTCATAAAGAATTATTACATGATTACTCCACCAGTCACTAGAACAGCACACACACTCAAAAATGGAATATTATTTGCAGATAGTTCATTCCTTATCAAAAAATCTTTTTAGACCAATTAGGTGATTTTCTACGGCACACCTGACCATCACTCGTGGCACACTAGTGTACCGAGGCACAGTGGTTGAAAAACACTGCATTAGGAAATAATAGTAACATGAAATATGCACTGTGGATTTTAGATAGTTTGTTCTGGGTCGGGGGAGTTTAATGTCTCCACCTCGTGCCCGCCTTGTTAAATAATTATGACTCTTTTCAACAAGGACTAAATGTTCAGCAAAAAATTAGGGCTGTTATTTTGGGGGGTCAGGAACACAACATTAAAATGGCAATAGAAGCAGAAAAATACTGTTATTTATTTCTGATTCTGAAAAAAATAATAAAAATGTCCCTCTGGGATTAATAAAGTATTTCTGATTCTGACTATTTACAGAATGCATTAAAAATCAAAATCCAGCACCAATTAGGACCAGTAGTATTCAACAACTATTTATGATTACATTTGAAAGTTTAAGCTTATTTAGCCTTTTATTGACCTAGTTTGTTGTTGTTTTTTTTGTGGATTTGTCCGGTGTTGGTGTCTTGAAGTGGGAAACATCTGGATTTGCATCTGTTCTGCTGCTAAAGAGGCTGCTCTGCTCACTGCTAGCTAGTTCGGGCTTTTATGGACCCACAAATGGAGCTAAAACTGGAAATGGAAGCAGATACTGATTATTTACAGAAAACATTAAACATCAAAAGTGAGCACCAATTAGGACCAGTAGTACAAAACTTTACTCCTTTTTATGGTAGATTTATAATAATTTATAATAGATTTAAAATAATTCGGATGTTTTCTGTGTATTTGTAGTGTTTTTCTCCTCTTTGAGTTGCTGTGATGTTTCAGAAGAAGCTTTTTTAGTCTGTAACAGGATCAGTTTATAACATTTACCTCTTCCAAACTGAACAAATATGAGCCCAAATAATAAAAAACAACCAATACGTTCACGGACAAAATGCTTTGAGCAGACTAAAGTAGATTTCTAAGCCCAGCTTCAAAGAGAAGGGATTAGTTTTTCATGTAAAAGCTGGAAAAGTGTCTGTGGGTCAGATTAATCCGCCGCCAGCTGCCGGAGCCCGGGCCCCTAATCCGTCGCTCCATGGCGGCTTTACCTCCGTGAATTTCCCCTGGCAGTACTTCTGGGCCTGCGGGACGTGGAAGATCTCGTCCATGTAGGGCTCCCTCTGCTCCCGGGTGATTGTGGAGAACAGCAGACACGACACCAAGAAGTTGATGCTGCACAGGGCGGTGAACACGTAGCCTTCATACCTCTCCATTTTTAACCGCCAAACGCCGCGCAAAACCAGCCAGAGATCAGTTACCGCGTCCTAAACTACTCATAGCGAGCAAATTTAGGGATATAAACCAGCAAACGGCTTCACTTTGTGGACCTATCGCTGGAAATCCGCGAAGAGCCGCCAAGCGGAAGTTTTCATTTCTGAGTCAACGAGGTCCGCCTGTGAAATGAGTCCGATCTCAAACATAGCGGGTTTGACGAAGTGTTCCAACGTTATTGTTTGTATTTACATTGATATATTTATTTAAATAGCTAGAATGAAGTATGTATTCGTTTTAAAAATGAAGTATGTATTCATTTTAAAAAGGAAATTATGAAAAAGTAACGTCTCTTTTATCAGCGATAAACAGTGAGGCTTCGGAGGAGGCGGTGTTACAGTATTATGCTTCCCCCCTCATGTGGGTCGGTAGTAGCTGAGAGAAAGTCTGACATTTCTGTCAAATGTCTGCAAACATGAACCTGACGCAGGAGCTGGAGCTTTTCTCCGACTGTAGAGTGACTCAGATGCTTTTTAAAGACGTAAAAAACGCGGCAGAGTTGAGACAAAGGGCCGTGGAGGGAAAAATAAACGGAGCCCTGATAAACCCGAAAATGGTGAGTCTCATTTAATCTCCGATTTGCGTTTGGGTCGTTGGACATAATTACTTTAAAGGGGATTTGTGAACGTTTTTTTAGTGATGAAAATGCAGAAAAATGACAGTTTTGTGCATTTATTCACGTTAAATGGGCGATAATCTGAGTTTCGACCAGTAACAGTTAAAGTTTTGACCCAGGAGCTAAACTTATGTGTTAAGCATCCAAAAAACGTGAAACTCCTCTTTTAGGAAGCTTGAGGTAAAAATTATCCTGCAAACATTTGCACTTTTTGGTCTAATTTGTCTGATCTCAACTGTTTTAAATTAGTATTTAGTATC